TTAAACAGAAAGTAAAAATTGTGGCTTTATAAAACAAAATTCATAATGATACTCTTAGTTTTGCATTTCAACATTCAACATGCATTCGAATGTTGAAATGCAGTGCAACAGAGAACAGTTTTTCCGAACCAGCTATTTTTATTTTTATTTTATTCAAATATTTTTGTTTTATCTCAGTAAAAATTAGGTCGATACTATTTTCCAGTGAGCAAATAACTTATACACTATTAAAAATGAATTCGATATTTAAGCACCTATTATATTCGGGTCAGTATTTATTAAAAAACGCGAAACCTGTATTTGCTCACTGGAAAAAAATTTCAACCTAAAAATTTACAAATCTCATCGTAAATTAATAGAATTTGGTTAGGTGCCACTCATATAGTTACAAACTATTCAATGGGGTGATACCTAGATACTAGGAATATGTTGAAATAAAATAATTAAACGCAAAATTTTTTATCAAATGCCTAAACAAACTAAAAGTAATTGCACTGAGCAGTAATTGCACTTAAAAATTTTTTAGTATCATTTATCAATGACGGATCCAGGATTTTTGGTGTTGAGATAACTTCCAGACTTGGAGCAAACTCCAATCATTTGTATGTTTATAGTTATGTCAAATAAGAATGGTTCGGAAAAAATTGCGATGATTGGAGGCTAGGAACAAAAAAGCCTTTTAACTTTATACCCCCCACTTCACTCCAAACGTGAGGAGCAACAAATTGATAACACTTTTTTTTTACTTTACTCAACTAGATTTATATTCACCAATAAATAAATATAAGTCTAAATGAGAATCTGAAATCAAGAGTAAAAAATAGGTGTCTGAATCCACCAAATAAAAAAAAAAAAAATTTAATTTTTTACTTTTCCGTTAAGTCATATGTGTATTCTATTATCTAAAAATAAAAGTTATCACGTTAAAAAAAAAAATTCTGCTTTAACCGCAGTAAAAAACAAACAGCTTATGGGTGGTCTTCAAAAAGTTATAAATTGGCTATGATAAAATTGATCGTTATATCGTTCGACACTTTTTTTTAATCAACAAAGTACCGTGTTGTGAAAGTATGTCTAGCAAACATTGAATTGTCTGTAAATCTACTATGCCTTGCATTTGAAAGCATTTTATAAAATTCGAACTGATGTCAATCCTTTAACAAACATTTTGTGATCTTATTTTTAATCTGCAGAGTATTTGACCTAAATTGCGTCAGATTAAAATTTACTCAAAATAACCTTCCCGTTAGATTGACTTAAGCGATAATAAAGTTGCATAAGCAATTTTTTATTTGTTAAAAAGTTGACAATCGATTTAAAGTTTTCAACTTTTTCAATTAAAAACATTTTTCTGACATAATCTATTAACAATATTTGCGTTGATGATATGAACTTAATGACATTAATAGAGACATTGCATTAACTGGCACTTGTGGAGAAATGCCTTTGATAATATCATCAGAGTTGTATCGATAACAAATATTTAGAATTAAATATTTACGTTTAGAATCAAGAAAACATTTTTGTTGTTGAAAATATTAGATCAATTGAAAATAAAGAAAATAAAGTTCGGATACAGGTCCGGTCCGGTCTTTGAATCTAAATTCAAAAGCTTTCAGTATTCTTATAAAAATAATCAAAAGATACGTTTCCGCCAAAAATTAATATAGAATTTTTATGCGGGTATATTTTTTTGAACAAAAATCTTTAATGCAAATTTGCCTGCATCGAACGTTAGGCTTCTTGATTCTGTGGTATGCAATTTACGGCTCCTCAATTTCGATAAAAGCCTCGCCGCTCTCCTAAGAGAAACTCCCATGTTCTCCTTGAATTTTTTAAGATAAAAGTCTAGAAAATGGACTTGGAATCAAACTCTACATACTATTTTTGTGTAACCTTTTATAAGAATCTGAATTAACTTCACATAGCTGTCTTGTAATTACTCAAGAAACCAAACCAAGAAGAAATTATATTCTATAACTTTCTTGATCCATGGCCCAACGAAGATGTCAGCCCTAACAATAGCCTTGATCATCTTTGGAAAATATTAAATGATTTGAACTAACCAACGAAGCTTTATTTAAATATTTTTTATTTAAAAACTTTAACATATTTTTGGCCAAAGTTTTTGAATAACCAACCAAGCTTTATTTAAACGTTTTTTAAATAATCTGCGTTTATCGCTGTTTTAATTAGATGTGAAGAACATTTTCAACAAGGATAAAGCCGTCGGTCAACAAGGATACAAGGCCGTCGTTTTAAAGCCGTCAGTCGTCGTTTTCTAGTAGTTTAAGTTCACTTTTGTTTATTTAAAAAACTCTAACTTATTTAGATGCTGTCAAACTAAGGTTCTTAAACTTTTTTCTACCTAATTCAAATACAAAAGAAGCGGGGTTTTGAAAACTTTTTTCCTGTTTAAAATGGAATAAAAATATAGAGGCATTCAAAAGTTAATAAATTTTAGTAAGGTAATCTTCTTTTCCCAAGTTAAATGAATTTTTAGAGAAATTTGACATCAAAAGCATTAAATGAAAATTTAAGGTAAAATTTATGTTATAGAGATATGTCAAATTAACTAAATTTTGTTTTTAATGTTTTAAAAAAATTATGCGTTAGGGAAGGAAGGAGTTTGATTTTGTAATAAATAATGCGTATGTACGAGAGAGGAGAGGAGGAGATTGAAAACGCACAGGTACAGGGGGAAGAGGTAGGTGGGTCCGAAATAAGTAGTTTTACTGCATACATAAAGTATTGATGCCTCCAAATATAAAACCATTTTTATTTAACTGTACCTATATTAGACTTCAAGTAACATTCCTATGGGTATTCTCAAGGGTAATAAAGTAACTTGCTACTTACCCAGGGGTACTAAAGTACCCTGGTAAACGAAGCAACTTTTTTACATGAAAATATACGGTCAACGAAGTAAACATCTTTTAGATTTTAAATGGCTGGAGCGACAGAAGACCACTTTTTTTCTTTTTACTATATATTTATCCATATTTACAATTTATTGCATTACGCAAAACTTAAAACAAAAAAGCGCTGAGTTTTCAGTAAGGATGTACCGGTTTAGAAATTTTAAATTCCAGCCGGTAGTGGATTTTGCCGGAATGATTAACAAAATTCTAGACGGAAAAAGAATTATACTTATGTAATTTTTTACCTTCAAGATTGAAATTCAAAGCCTGTACCTCAGCAACGTGGCTACATAATATATATTTATAGCCTATAATAGATATATAACCTATTTTATTAATTTGATTCTTGTTTCATTTAAATCTAATATGTTGTTTTTATTTGTTCCTTATAAAGTTTATTTATTGAAATTTTTAATCTGCATAATATTTATACTTAAAATTACTTCTTTGTTTTCTATTTTTTCATTTAGGTTAAAATTTAAATATTTATTTTCTTAGGCATCCTATACCTTTTAATTGTATAAAATTTAAGTAACATTTAAAATGAGAGTATTCTCAGAGGCAGGTCACATTTTTGATGAAAAAAAAGCTAGTTTGTAGATCAAAACTGGATAGGAACTCTTTTTGCACCAAAATATTTCTAAACTTCTAGTGATTCTTACATAATTGATTATTGCAAAAAAAATTACATTGTGTTTGTTAAGAATTTTGTATTTTTTGCTTTTTGATTTTAAATTACACAGTTTGTGTCAAGTGAAGAAATTCCGGCTTTCCGGCCTAAAACATTGTAAGTCCGGTACATCCCTAGTTTTCAGAGCTTTTCATTAAACACGAGGTTGTACTTGTAAACAAGCCCACGTTTTTAAAAAAAAACAACAACAAAAAGAAGTTTTTAATTTTTCTATGATATTTATTTATATTAATAGTAAAAACCATAATAAGAATAATTTTAATAATAATAACATTAATTATGTTAGTAATAAAAATTATAAGAATACAAACAAAATTAAATCAGTTTAATAAAAATTAAAATATTAACGTTAACAAACAAAAAAACAACAGTATCTGATAATAATATCAGCTGGGACGGAATGTTTTTCTTATTAATGTTTTTCATATAGCTCTGATTTTGTATATGGAATTAGAGTTCCAACAAATATCAGCTTTTTTACTTCAAAAAAAAAAAAAAAAAAAAAAAATAGTAACAACAAAGTAACAACAACAAATAAAATAGTATGTTACCGAAGAGAAGAGTTTTTTGATGTAATTTAACAACAACGAAATATATAATTTTCTATCATTACATTGAAAATTAATATATAATAAAAATAATATTAATTATACTACAATAAATGATCATATAGCTATATGAGATGATTATTACATTAACTATATTTATATATTATTTTACCATAAATTTTTCCGAGAAATTTTCAACCCTAATAAAAAGGTCTTCAGCTAAATTTGAAAGAAACATTCGTTCCCCTTGCTCCCCCCTCCCTACGATACTGGCAATCTGAAGATGTTATTTTAAAGTTTCGACAATGTCAAATATTTCTTTGAAAGTTAAATGATTAACTTTTAATACTCCAGTTAAGTAAATAATATAGTAGTACCTTTCTGAAATAGTATAATACCTTTTCTGAAGTAAATTAATATAACAGTATCTTTCTGAATTCTTGCCACGTTCAGATATCTCTTCATTAGTGGTAGTTACTATAATTTGCAGAACTTAATCAACAACAAAAATTTCTGCATAGCTTTTTTGTTTAAAAAAAAATATAGGCAATGGGTTGAGTTATCTAAACCCAACCCATTATATAGAGTTAAGAATGAGAGAAATCATCTTTCTTAAGTTCTTGTTCCTTAGAGTTACTAAAGTTCTCAATTTAACACCAGTATATTCCTACTTTATTATTAAATAAAATTATGAGTGAAAAAGAAAAAAAAAATATCAATGATTGAAAAAGAAAGTGAAATAGACTTAAAGGTTAATATTATTAAAGGAAGTTAACGTATTTATTTTATCATATTTTAAAACATACTCTGATCTAACATACTTAGCATAATTTTATATAGATGCTGTCCTGTAGACTGTACAGTTAGTGAATGGACAAGTTGGTCATCTTGTTTTGCAGCATGTGAAAAAACAGCAATAGTAACACGTTTACGAACTGTTCAAAAGCAAGACTCATGCAATGGAAAATCATGCCCAGTTTTGAATGAAGCAAATTCATGTAATGGTCCAACTTGCTGTCCACGTGATTGTGAATACTCTGATTGGTCAGCTTGGGAAGTATGCTCTGGTATGATGTTATGCATTGTATTGTGTTATACATTATAAAAATATAATAGAGGTATAATAAAATAATTTTACTTTAAATCAATAGGAAGTTGTCAAGGTGGTACACAAAAAAGAAAAAGGTCATTAACCAAACAAGCTACCTGTAATGGCACTTGTAGCAATGAACTATTTCAAACAAAAGCTTGCATTGTTAAGCCAGTTAAATGTCAAGTGAGTTTTTAGTAGTTTTTGTTTGTTACTTTTAGATAAAATTATAATTAGATTTCATGACGAGTTATAAAAAAAAAATTATATAAAAAAACCAATTAAGTAAAATTATATTTAGTTATAATTATTGTAGTTATATAATGGTTAGTTATATTATAATTTGTGTTGACCAAGCTTATTATTTTTCAAAGTTGCCATTTTTAATTTACCATGTTTTTTGAAGAAATATTTTTAAAGAGAATTCAAATAAGATATGATAATGGATTTTTTTATTTAAGTATAAAGTTAACATGGTTAGCAAAGTTTTACTTCTGAAATATATCAAACATTTAACCAAAATTACATTATGCCATTTTCTATATATATTTCTAATTTTTTAAATTTATACAAAATAGTATGCTGCTTTATTATATTAAACTAAACTGGAGATATCTAAAGAAATTACTTAAAGAAATTTTTTGAGTGAACTACTTCACTCCCAACAAAGCTGTTGGGAGTGAATTAGTTTTAAAATCAATTTTTAAGACTAATTTTGATAACCACTATTTAAGGAATTATAGTAAAAAAAAAAAAGAAGAGTAGAATTAAAGAGCAAGAAAGTGGTCGATAGAAAACTGTATGAAACAAGAAAACACAAAAACAAGGGAGAATTTCAAAGCATTATTGTGTCAATGAAAAAGCTAAATGAATTAAAATTTTTAGAACACAAAGGAACTGACACAGTAAAAAGATGTGACTTCACTGAATAGTGAGTCATATTTAGTTTTGGTTGATAGAACAAGAAATGATACCTCATTTAAGCAGTAACTATTGTAGTATTTAAAAAAAAGAGAAAAAGACAACCTTATGATGATAAGACAGAGGGCTCAACCTTTCAAACTAGAGCAGGTCCAACTACATTTATAATACACTTTTGGACCTTATCTAGAAGAGAAAGGGCATCATGAGAAAAACCAACCCTAAAGTGATGACATTGTTCCATTCAGGGACAAATATTAGATTTATAGAGGTCTAGAGTGGAATCAGGAACAAGAAAATGGCGGGCACATTAAAAGAGGTCTCTTAACAGATGTTAAATTTGCAATTGATTGTATTGTATTTAGGTTTACATAAAAGGTCAGTAATAAAAGGTAATCTGAAAATGTAAAGTGGCTCAATAACTTTCTCAGATACATCATATGAAGAAAGCTTATGGAGAAGACTAGCATGCCAGACTTTATCAAAAGCTTTTAGTATGTCAAAAACAGCAGCCCTTGCCTCACTGCCTCCATCTATTGCACCATAAAACTTTTCTTTCATGACAGTTAACATGTCAACAGTAGAATGATAGTAAACAACCAGGGTTGATATTTGAACGGGGCCGAGGCCAGGTTTAATAAAATATAGCCGGGACTGGGGCTGGGTTTGTGACCAGGGCTGCATAAACATTTATACATCCTAAAGTATATTTTTTTTATTTAAAATTTATGTATATGTATGTATATATAAACATCATTATGATCATTATCATCATCATCATCATGATCATTATTATCATCTTCATGATCATCATGATCATCATTATCATCATAATAAAAGCGGAAAGCTTGATGATGATGATGACAATTATGATGATGATGATCATCATTATTGTCATGATCATCATCATCTTTATCATCATCATCATCATCATCATCATCATCATCATCATCATCATCATCATCATCATCATCATCATCATCATCATCATTGTCATCATCTTAAGGCTTTAGCCTTCCTCTTATAAGCTGTTTCTCTAATATAAACAATCTAGAGCATTTTTATTCCTAACTAAAGCTCATTTATACAATATGTAAGGCACTCTCTTCAAATTTTCTTACTTCTACCACAACCATTTTCTACTGAAGCTGTTACCGCTCTACATGTTGATACCTAAATTACTTTAACCTTTTCTAACAAACATTGTTTGATACAACGATTTTTAATAATCTGTCTAAGATTATGCCTCCTTTTCTTGTCTTGCTAGAGTCACATTACACATCCATCTGATTATCTTCTCATTCAGGAGATACTACACCAGGTAAATACGTTTATAATAATGAAATAAACACCAGGTACTACACCAGGTAAATACGTTTATAATAAATAAATTTATAAAATAATGAAAGGATATTGTATGCCAGCATCTAAACAAATAGCAGACATATATGTTTATATCCATAATATGTGTGCAAAAAGTGCATCTTGGAAGCTTTTATTGCTTCTGCAATAAAAGTTTGGAAGCTTTTATTGCAGAACTCTTTAGTTTTAAGTCAAGTTTTATTCTACTCTGCATTTTTCAACATTAATCACTTTTACATCTTTTTTATAAGAACATCTCTCTTAAGAACAAATGTCCTTTTTATTATTGCAATAAGCTAATGTATAAATAAAGTCTTGATGTAAATCTCTGTTATTCTCAGTTTACTAAATCTTATATCTTATCTCAGATGTTAGGTTCTATCATCTAAAGTTTTATCTCTAATTCATGGGTCTGATCTTTTTACTTTTACCCAGAATAAAGCAGAGCTATTTACAAAGAAATTTTACTCTAGTTTGACTCTCGAATATAACAGCCATACTCTTGCTGACAGTTAATCAGATTAACTCATTTTTAAACATCAAAATTATTCTGGCTTCCAATACTAAAATTAATTCTAAATTAAACACTTCTACAGTTTGTGCTTTAGACAAGATTTCCATCATAGTCTTAAAAAGTGTTCTCCAGAACTCTCTTCAACTTTTGCAAGTGTCTAGCAATTTTAAAATGTGCTAAATAAGTGGTTCCAATTTTTCAAAAGTCTAGAAAACACTTTGACCTCTCCAAGTATCCTACGATTACTCTTTACTCTGTTATTAGTTTCTTATAAGTTTATATGTAAAGGTTTTGAGGTTAATAAATTATTTCTTTCTAACTGCAGTAGTAAAGTTTTTCTTTAAGGCCTACCCTCTTCTTTATTTTAAGTAACTTTAAGGGTACCACAAGATTCTATATTTGCTCCTGTATTATTTCTTATCTACAATAACGATCTTAATGAAATCTAAAGTGGCTCTATTTGCTGATGACTCAACTTTATACTCTCGTTTTGACAAAAAATCTTCACTTTATAATTGTTTAGAACAAGCAGCCAATTTTAAATCTGATCTCTCTTCTTTAACAGCCTAAGGCTTGCAGTGGCTTATGAATTTAAATTCTTGACTTAAAATCCAAAATTTTTGTTGACAACAAAACTCATTTATTTACTGCAAAAAAATATTGCAAAATTGTTGGCATTCCTATAAAGACAAATAATAACCCTCTTACTGTCAGACAAAGTCTAAAAGCACATTGTAAATATAATTAGGCCTGCTTTATCTGTCAAGCTTGAGCCACTTTCTCATTGTTATTAGGTTGCATTTATTTATTTTTTCTACAAATACAATCACGGTTAAGTCTCAAATGAGCTATTAACTCTATAACGATAAACCAAAACTCATTCTTGCTTGGCTATTTATTCAACAAGTTGCATCGTTTTACTGTATTTCTCCCTTCATGCTATAAAATCTTTTTACAGCATGATAATTAATCCAGTTTTTTTCCTTGAACATCAAAAAAACCTTTTAACTCTTACAAAACTTCATGTTTTCCTTTTTTATACAACTTACAACTTTTTATGTCTTTAGTTATATATTTCCTAATAATTTAACTGATTCTCTATTTTAAAGTAATTCATTACTTAATAGTGGTTGCTTGAAATATTGTTGTAAGGAAATTAGAGTTTAAAAATATATAATGAATGCTAGTATTTAAAAAATAGTAAATATAAGCATAAAATTATAATGTCTTAAGTATTATAATTTTTTTTTTAGCCCAGGCTATCAGCCCCTGCTAAATCTTATAATTTTGCTAGGGCCGGGGCCGGGTTTGAAAAAAGTCTCATTTTTAGCCGGAGCCCTAGTCACTTACTATAGAATGAGATGATTGAAAGCCATATTGGTTCTCAGAAAGTAAGTTGATTTTCCTTTATTGATGACATTGAAAGATGTGAAAGATTTTTCAAAAGTCTTAGAACCTAGTTGAGATAAAATGAAATAAAAAGCCTAAATATTTAATACATATATATATATATATATATATATATATATATATATATATATATATATATATATATATATATATACATATATATATATATATATATATATATATATATATATATATATACATATATATATATATATATATATATATATATATATATATATATATATATATATATATATATATATATATATATATATATATATATATATATATATAAATTTATAAAGATAATAGTCAGATATCAAACCTGATTTTGTGTATAGAGATATCAATAGAAATATCAATAGAGATATCTAACCTGATTTTGTGAAAAATAAGTGAGTTGATATGTAAGTATAGATCTAGGCTAAGGATGTGACTATAGAAGTCTTCACCAATCAGCCATCAACGCTGAGATATAAATATGAAAGAGTTGAATTCAAATTTTTCTTTCAATCAGCAAATAGTTCTGATAAAAAATTACATCAAAGATTTTGAATAATTGTAAAAGATAGATTGAAACAGTTAGTTGGTGACAACTGTTTTTTATGTTTAAAATTTTTATCTTCTATAGTAAGGTTTTATATTTATTAAAGAACTTGACTCGTTCATAGATAGTGCGTGGCATCTTATAACAACATCATCATCATAGCAACAAGCTATGCAATTACCTCAGTTTCTTTAATCAACCCAAGGTATGCAGTTACCTCAATTCCTTTAATCAAAGTACTGTTGATATTTTTTATATTTTACATCTGTTGATGAGATCAGTCTCTTTGAGAGCTACCACAGAGTTCAAGAAACCTTACTACCAGTTGGCCTCAGAATCATTAAAATGAGTTTTAGAGATCTATCCTCATTAAGAGATGAAAAAAGTTTTGCATATCTATTAAAAAGAGGCACAAGCAAAAAGAGTAAAGTCAAGAAAATCCAATGTTTATCATTCTAGGCAGACAAAAATATAAAACAAGTTTACATCTAAGCTAGCCTAATAGATGAATAAGGGTTGCAAGGCTGGTAAACAGAAAAATTTCTGCAACAGAAATTTTTTGTTTACCAGAAATTTTATATTTGCCGCTTATTGTCTAAAAATTATAGCTCTTTAGAGATTTAATATTATTATAGTTATTTTATTTAATATTATTTAATTTAATGTTATTTGGTTATTCAAGATAATTATAAGAGCTAGAATTTTTATTATTGAAAAAAAAATAAAGGAAATAATTCATTCAAATAGATAAACTTGATATTGATCCGAATTTCCCAGATACAACAAAAATATACAACCATTGATTAAGAACATTTAACAATTTTCTAAGTTGATGATAATGCTATCAACCTTAATCTCTTAACAAATTAATAAAAGCTCTTAATAAAACCTAATGTTTATGCAGGCTTTAGCGGGATGCGAGAGCTTTAGCTCTCTCTCTCGCCCGTACTCTAAAACGGTTTACGGGAACAATTTACGGCTCTCGCAAAAGTATAACTTTTTTCACGAAAGTATAATTATCGTTGAAACTAAAATAAAAAACACAATGTCATTTAAAAAAAAATTATTTGTATAATATACTGCAATACCTTTTAAAAAGCACGGTTGTTGCAAAAAAAAAATTAAAATTAAAAAAGAGCGTCGATTTAAATGAGGAGCAACTCGCACAGCTCCCCAACCTCATTTCAGGAGCTATTTATAAAGGCATCACAAATCTGAAATGATTTGTGATGCCTTTATAAATAGCTCCTGCCTTTATTATTAGACTCCTCTGACATTGTATCATATTATTTACTAAAGAGCAATACATTTAACCTTTCATTAGTTTTTGACCAAGCAAGACTTTGGCCTAGCAGGACTTTTATCTGTCAAAAAAATTCAAACTTCTACATAAATCAACTTGAATTTTTAGTAACACTGCATCTGTTCAGTGAGTTAAATCTTTTTTGCAAAAACTATTTGCAACTTATAATCATCAAGCTGCTGCAGTAAAATCTTAACAATTGTGTTGGTTCTGTAGAAGCATATGACATCCTCACAATTAATGCTTCGTCCATAAAAAATCTACTATAAATGTTGGTTATATTGAAAAAATTTGCAGATTTTCAAATTTTTCTCTCTTAAATTTGAGGATGATTAGTTTTGTGCATCCAACTTAGCCTCAGTGAATCCTCTCTTTCAAGTTCACTCCACAACATTATTATTAATGATAAATATAAAACTGATTTGTAGATTGATAGTGACAGTATAAATAAAAGCTTCATTAATAATAAACAAGTGTTTTAATCAACTCAGAAGTTATTCATGAAAAGAATTTTATTGAAAAGGCATCAGTTACTTCTTAAGCACACTCAGACAGATATTATGTTTTAATAACTCTTTAAAGTAAAGTTTATTATTAAGTCAAATTGTATGTTCTAGATAACTAATGTATAGATATTATTCTTAGTGCAGATTTTGAAAAATTGCATGAAAGTAGTATATTTAATATGATGGGAAAAATCTATATATAACTTTCACAGCTCTGAAAACAATAAAAGTTACTTACTAATCTAAAAGCTACTGAGTTATTTATCTTTTAAAAGATTGTGATAAAGAATTTATTTAATCTGAAACTCATCATCTGGTTCAAGCTGGAATAATAGAATCAAGTAGTTTACTTTATTATACTTTAGTAGTAAATTAAGTAGTAAATTATTATATTTTAGTAGTAAATTAAACATTTACACATGATAGTCAACTACTCTGTGATTATTGTTATATCTAGTTAGATGCATATTAACTTATTAATATATTACCTTAAATTAAAGTGATCCTAAGCAAAGTTTCCTAATACAAAGTTTATAGTTCTATAGACACTCAGCATACTAACAAATATTTCTATCCAAGCAATAGACTACATACTACTTTCATAGCTAATAATAAATTTTGACAATACACTAAATTGCCTTTTAGAGTTTCCAATGGATTGGAAACTCTAAAAAGCATTTTAAAAAAGAAGACTTTTTGTCAAAGCAGGAGTATAAAGTTGAATCATCAACAAATAGAGCCACTTTAGATGCAAAGTTGTCAGGAAGATCATTAATGTAAATAAGAAACAAAACAGGACCAAGGATAGAATGTTGAGGTACCTGGGAAGTTACTAGAAAAGAAGAAGAGTGTTAGTCTTCGAGAATGACTTTAGTAAAGTAGTTAAAAAGAAATGATTTGATAATCTCAAAAATTTTCCAAGATACACCATATGAAGCAAGCTTATAGAGAAGACCAGCTTTTCGTCAAAAGCTTTAGTTATGTCAAAAGCTATAGCCTTAGCCTTGCTGCCTCCATCTAATGCACAATAAAATCTTTTAATCACAGCAGTTAACAAGTCTGCGGTAGAGCGAGAGGATCATATTTTTTTAATGCAAAATGAATATATTGTATTTTATTACATATACATTCTGTATGCTATTATTTTATTTAAATAATTTATTTTCTTCTTACATAGGCAATTAAAAAAATAGACATATAAAAACACTTCTAGCTCTATTAATTGTCCCAATATTTTATTATCTTATTTACTTTAGCTATATTACTAATGACAACAATTGTCATTTAACCAAATGAATACAATCATCGTCCAGCTTTTGTTTAGGTGTGAAACCAGTGAAAAAAAACAAACATTGAAACCTAGCACATTGAAACCTAGCACACTGAAAAAAAAAGCTTTAATGTGTTCTCATTCATAAAAACTGAAATGATGGTTAGGTGAGATTAACCATCATCTTAGATTAGTTGTGATAGATTATCCATTACTAATTGTTAGTATTTAATTATTATTTTTTTGGTTATTAAGAATGCATATGACAAAGTCATTTACAATTTATTTATATTTATATAATATATATTTATATGTTATATAACATTTATATAACATTGTATAATAATATATTATAACATTTACTTGTATATAAATTTATTTAGTTATAATAATAACTTTTATAAATAGCTTTCATCTTGGGAATCTTGGTCATCATGCTCATCTGTTAATGGAAAATGTGGCAATGGTACACAAATGAGAGTGCGTACAATTGTGGTAAAACCAGTGTGTGATAATCCATGTGGAAACCTTAATGAAACAAAAAACTGCTTGTATAGTTGTTGTCCAGTTAACTGTGAATATGGACAATGGGGAAAATGGTCAAACTGTTCGAATCAATGTGGATCAGGTTTAGTTAAATTTTGAAAGTGATTTAGTAATTATATTTTAATTGTTTAATCAATAAAAAAAATAATTAGTTAATTTCATATTATAATACATTATTATTGTTATAAAAGTGCTTCCAGAGCATCAATGTATTAAATAGGTATTTTCAATATTTTTTGTTTATTCAGGATTAAGAAGCAGAGAACGCGAGGTTCAAACCAAGGATGAATGTGGAGGGTTGTCCTGCAGTCAGTCAGACTTAAAGGCTACTGAGTTTTGCACAGAAAACAATGACTTGGATTGCATATTAACAAAATGGTCTTCCTGGTTTAATTGCTCTACAGAATGTGGTTCTGGTTTTAGTCAAAGAAACAGATCAATTATACAGCAACCAAAGTGTAATGGAAAGTTATGCGAATCTTTATTTGAGAGTAAAACATGCATTAGTTATAATAGCAACCAAGATTGTGTGGTAATATTAATTTTTAAATATGAGTACTTATATGCATTTGCCAACATTTTTTTGGCAACATAAATCCATCTGGTTTTTTTTCCAAAAAGAAAAAAAAAAGAAGAATAATTTAAAAGATTACTGCTGTCCTAACCCAAACCCTTTATCAATGTAGCAGCAACTCCCTTGGATGTTCTCTCTATTTCAGTTAATTTATAAACATAAGTCGTTTGCAAAAAAAGTTCTTGAAAAATGAAAAAATTCTTAAAAAAAAAAAAGATGGTTCAATAGACCAATAAAAAGAAATTTTATAAAAAATTCTAAAAATAGTCATTTAAAAAATTTCATAAAATTGTCTTAAAAAATCTTTTAAAAAAGATATCAAAAAAATTCTAAAAATTCACATTCTTTATTTTAATAAAAAACCTGTAGTTTTTCTGCATTAAAATCTAAAAATATAATTTTTCTCTGAGATATAATAATATTATTTTTAAAATAACAATATTAAATTTCAAGTGTATTATTAAGTTCCAAAAAAAGTATTATAAAATAATATAATACTATTTTTGAAATTTTTATAAAGTTTTGCTTTATTTGAGTAACAGGTTGACCTATTTTATTTAATTTTACAAGTTAAAAAAAAAAGGTGATAATATGATATGATTTTTTTTTTTACCAGTTTATATTAATTTTATTTTAAAGATTAATTCGCTTGTTTAATTTTTTTGTTTTATAATTGTTTTGAACTATTCCGAAATGTTAACTTATTTAAATAATGGTTAACAGTTTAATATATCTGGATTTAATTTTGTTGTTGTTAAGTTGAATTTTATTTGAAATAAGTTCATATTCTCCCTTTATTAACAACAAAATTGTTCAACATTTTTTATTATATTTATACAAAATTTTTTTCAAAATTTTGTATAAATATAATAAAAAATGTTGAACAATTTTGTTGTTGTTGTTAAGTTGAATTTTATTTGAAATAAGTTCATATAGAGGCTGTCCATAAAGTAGGCTCTTAAGAGGAGAGGCTAATTAACACGCTACTTAACAAAATTATTTCAAGGTAGTGTTTATTTTTCTAACTTATCTTTGTCAATAATTTGCCAGCTAAATTGATAGAAAAGTTAATTAATTGACTACAAATCCTAATTTGCCAACCAAAAAAGAATGTTTGCAAAGGGGAGTGGTATAGTGTCCTCTATGCACACTCATCCCATTCCTTATACACTGGCCCTGAGTAAGGCAGTAGTGTATTTCAGGCACCCCCTTTTTTAAGTCCCTAAAAAACAGGTTTTAGGCTATTGTTTATTGTTGAGTGGGTTTTAAAACATAAATGTTATTTAACATTCCATTCTATCAAATTTAACAGTAATGACTTCAAAACCTTCTAATCATTGCTTATATAAAACTGAAACTCTCATTTTAGTTTAAACTAAATGACATAAGTTAATAAATAAAAAAAGTGATTTTTAATTTGAAGTAAGACACATTAATGTTTTATATCAAACAAAAAAAACTCAAAGTTTTAAGATAGAAACTAAAAATTAAATTAATTGATTGTTTCTTGTTTTATTTAACAATATTTGATCTTGACTGTTCAACTATTATTCAACAATACTTGATCTTATTATTATTATATTCAACTGTTTAATTAAACAAGCTTTGTGTTTAACAAAAACTTTTTTATCAAAAGCATTTTATAAAAGATCCAGTAAATAATTTATCATTTTTCTCCCTCCCAAATTCTTGAGATTAGTGCGATTTTTTACTAGATTAGTCAGTCTTGTTTATTGTGAGCAAAATTCTTTAATATTCTGTCTTTAATAGTTGGTCACTGGGTAAAGTTGTGGGAGAACCTGGGAAAGTCTTTTCCGTCCCCTAGATTTTTTTCAAAATTTTGTATAAATATAATAATAATCTGATAATATGAATACGCTAATTTAATATTATTATTAGTCGAGTTACGTCATTTTCTAGGCTTTTCTATTTTAAAGTAGTTTCTAGGCTTTTCTATACGCGTTTTTTTTTTTAATTTTATTTACTAACAACGCGTATTACGGGTTGCTTACTGCTAGTGTTAATAAATAAATGTTGAACAAATTTTTTTTTGGTCCCCCCCACCCTCCTTAAATATAAAGTGACACTTCTATACTTGTGTTTAAGTTTTATTTGTGTTAGTATTCTTTGTTACTTATTTTATTTTACATATGTTAGTATTCTTTGTTACTTATTTTACTTATATTAGTGTTAATAACACTAAATTTTACTTATGTTAGTTTTTAAATGTTACTTATATTAATATATATGTGTAAATAACATTTTTATCATTGTGTATATCACTGTATATCAGAACAGGTGTGTGTGCCAACTAGCTCACAAACTAACTTGTTGTGAGGACTTTTTATGTGTTATAACCATTAGATACGCAAACCTTCTACTAATTTTAAAGTATAATGTTAATGGAATATGTGTAAACTGAACCACCTTTTAAGCTTATTTTTTAATATTAGTTACTTAAATATACTGTTAAATTAAAAGTACTGTTTATTGTATGCTTAATACATATTTGTTTAAAGGTTAGCTTATGGGGAGCATGGGGAACATGTCAATCAAACTGCTCATTGAGCACAATGAAGCGGGTACGAAATATTCTTTCACCAAGTGTTTGCATGGGGAAAAAATGCCCATATTTAGAGGTTAGAAAAAAAATTTTTTCAATGAATATCCAATATTTCACTATTTTTATTTATATAAATTGATTAATAAAAAGTTTAATATATATATATATATATATATATATATATATATATATATATATATATATATATATATATATATATATATATATATATATATATATATTTATATATAATGTATAGTTCTGAATATATTCGACAAAATAGAGACCTCCATGTTCTTAAAGGGATAGAGTAATATATTAAATTAGTAGAAAATCTCATCAAATTATTTTCATTTTTCACTGTGGTTCATCTATAAAGACTAATAAGAAATGCATTTCTGTTATCTATAAAAACCCACCTGAGATGAACTTTTTGATGTCTTTATAAATAAAAAACAGTGTAAAATGAAAATAATATTGTGTATATTAGTATATATATATATATATATATATATATATATATATATATATATATATATATATATATATATATATATATATATATATATATATATATATATATATTTATATATATATATATATATATATATATATATATATATATATATATATATATATATATATATATATATATACACACACACAAAAAAAAATAGTATTATTAGAAATACAAAATTAATCAATCCTTGTTTATAATATTTTACAAATAAATGTATTTATCTAGGAAACTGTGCCATGTGGAGAGGTTAATGGAGGCTGCGAGCATGTTTGCTATAGAGGCGTATGCTCTTGCTCTCCAGGTTATACTATTAAAAATCAAACAAAGTGTGTTCCAAAAGACTGTGGTTTGCTAACAATTGATTTATGCAAGTCATCAGGTAAAAATCTGATTAATAATATTTATAAAATAATTTAATTGTTGTGATTTTAGAAACATTTTTTATTTCTGCTTTTTATTATTGTTTTACAGATCAATTATGTAAAAATCCATCAGTGCTTTGTCCTGGTAATAACACCTTATTTCCTACATTGTGTAAATTGGAATGTCCTCTTGGATTTAAACTTTTTGGAAAAGATACAGTGTCATGTCAGTCATCAGGTCAATGGACTCAAACTCAAAGTATTTGCAATAGTTTAAATGAGCCTCCTTCTCAAGTACGTCTGAACTTTTATATTTCAAAAAATATAAAACATGTTTTAACATTATATTTTTAAAAGTATATGATTGTTTGGTTTTGATAGTTTTACAATGTTTAGATTTTAAAATTTAAAATTTTTGTTTCTATAAGTTGTTTTTAGTTTTTTGAGAATATTTAGTTTAATTTTATTTTAAATTTTTTATTTTTTTTAATGAAAATAGTAACCTATATTGCATCTAATATAAATGATAACCTATATTATATACAGTAGCGTGCAAAAGTTTAGAAATGCCAACTTTTTTTCAGTTTTTAACACAAAACTCTTCACAAACCTTCTCAAGTAGGCTGAAATTTTTACTAAATGTGCTTTACATTATTTTAATTCAAAATAAAAATTAAACAGTACAAAAAAATTTAACACTTAATTAAAATTTAAAAGTTTTTTTGAAAAGATTTCTGAAAAAAAAATCATCCTTTCCAATTAAATCAAGTTTTTGTGAACAAAAGCAAAGTTAAAAGTTTATTGGTAAAATGTAATAATTAACTTACTTTGAAATATTCCAAAAGCTGTAATATAATAGCCAAAATATTTTCAAAATTTTATAATTCAATTACTTAGTGATATTTTAAAGGGACAAGAAATGCTAAGGAAGTTCAAATGAAATAAATTGATTATAAAAAATGTGAAAAAAAAAGGTATTACAGAAAGATTTCTGAACCAAGAATATGTTAGATTATAAAATTTTTTTATCAATGCAAAACTATTGAAAGCAAGTCTCACTCTGGAAAACCTAAATTTACAAGTAAAATACGGTAGTGGTGCAGTGGTAGAGCGCTTGCTTTATAAGCGAGAGGTTCTGAGTTCGATCCCAACCGCGTTCTTGGTAATAACATGCTCAACTTGTTTCTCTGTACAGCGGCCTTGTTAGTCAAGGTTTGTGTTTTGGAGTTATAAAGTTGAGAGAGGGTTATAACCACAATTAAGTAGCCTACTCATCTGTAGTGGCCTTCTCGGCCTTGGGGAGGTGAAATAACATAAAAGAAAGGCTAATGACTATTAATAAGGTATTCTAAGAATAATCCTTGTAAGACTGCTGTCTTAATATATTATTATGCATCAGTTTTTTGGAACAAACTGCAGCCTCAATACAACTAAATGTTTATTACAACAAAATGGTCTGTATAGACACTGTCCAGTCAAGAAACTGCTGATGTATGCAAGATTTTCAAAGCCATAACAAAGTTTGCAAAAGATCATCTCAGATTGTTAATTATGACCAAAAGTGTTTTTCTTCGATGAATCAAAGTTTATGCTATTCAGTACGACAGATTTACAATGTCAGATGTCCAATAAGAGACAAGCTCAATCTTAAATATCAATTACGTACTGTTAAACATAGAGGAAGAAATGTTATGGTTTAAGAGTGTTTTAGTTGTGACAATATTGGTCCCATTCATTGCACAAAAGGTGTTATAGACCAGACTGTTTATTTAGACATCATAAAGAATATTATGTTGTCATATTCAAAGTATAAAATGACTCGCAAGTGGACCTTACAACAAGATAATGATTAAAACCATTGTGGTAAATCTGTTGAAAATATTTTAAATTAAAAAAAAACGAAAATTATATTTAATATATATATAAATTTATTTTATAGCTTAGCTAGTCTAGCAATATAAAAAAGTTACAAAATATTGTTGAAAACTAGCAAATGAGCGTGTTGAAAAATAAAATGCCGTTTTTTTAAAGATTTTGAAGAGAATTAAGGCTCTTCAAAGTTTTCCAAAAATCAATTTGATTAATCTTGGGAGTTCCTTGCATTTCTGTTATTCAAAGAACCAATATAGATTATTAAGATTATTAAAGCCGAAATGGCAGATCTCAGATCTCAATTCTATTATACATCTTTGAAAGCACACTGACCAGTAATTAGTTGGCACAAAATCAAGCAAGAAAAACAGTTTATTTGTTTAGATTAAAAAATGTGATATATTTTCTTCAGAATGTTCTTATTAATTTAAATTATTCTATAGCTTATCACTGGGATGTTGTCCTTGTCGGAGAGATACTGTTTAGTTGTTGCTGGGATGCTGTTTTAAAGGCAAATGGTTATTGTCTTTAAAACTGTAAACTTTTTTACTGTTTTATTAAAGCTATTTTATTTTAAAAATTGTAATTTTATAAGTTTTTTTATTAATGTAAAAACTAATCAAAGTTTCGTGTTTTTTTTTTAAACTTTAGTGCGCTGCTATATGTATTTTGTAATTTTTATTGCCAAAATTATGAGCAAAATTATAATAAATTAATTAAAATTAACATATTACAAAAAATAGTTTTGTTATTCATTTTTAAAATATTTTGAATTTCAATATTATTATTGCAAATTAAAAATTGGTTTAGATTATTCTATCAAAGTACGACTTTTCAGAGAACCTTCCATCTGGCTTTCAAATTGGGGTTTTATATTCAGTAGATAAGAATAAAAATGATACACATACATACACACTTATAAAAGATGATTGTGGATGTTTCACAATACTTGAAAACCAACTGAAGACATTGAAAGTTTTTAATTATGAAGAAGAAAAAAATGCACAGTAAACTTAATTTTAATTTTTGTTAAAATAAGTTGTTATAACATGTCTTGAAATAATAAAATGTTTTAAATAAAGTTAACAAAAAGATTTTATTTTTAAAAATATATATATAGCAAGAATATAGCAGAACTATTTTCAAAGAGCTTTTCTTTATGTTCAACACTTGAATCTTATGGCCATACATGTTGTGCTTATATATGCAATTTCAATTAAACAGGTTAATCAATTGTTAGAATCCAAATCACTCCAGCTTCCGTTGCCAAAGTCATATCTTTATTAAAATCTTCTACGGTTTTGGTCCAGACAACATTCGTATCATAGGCTTACAAAAGTGTTCTCCAGAACTCTTTTCAATTCTCTTTGAACTATTTAATAAATGCATGATTGAATCTTGTTTTCCTGTCTGCTGGAAAATGGCATCTGTGGTTCCAATGTTTAAAAACTCTGGAGAACATTTAACTCATTCAATTTAACCCCTCCAAATATTGTCTTCTCTTTATTATTAGCATGGTCTTTGAGTCTTTGAATAACAAATATCTAACATCCCATTTTGAGTCAAAAAACTTACTGTTTGATTACCAATATTAGCAGGAGATGGCAAGGCAAGAACTATTGTAAAATTATTGCTTCAAAATAAACTTAAGACATAAAATCATACACACATACATACATTCATACATACATACATACATACATACATACATACATACATACATACATACATACATACATACATACATACATACATACATACATACATACATACATACATACATACATACATACATACAAACATATATAACAGTTATTTAATTAATTTTACTGTTGTTATAGCTTTCAAGTAACAATTAGAAGTACAGATAATGGATATCCTCCCTTGAGCATAGAAGAAAGTTTTCAACTTTTTTTAAATGATGTAAATGAGAAACCATTAGATATCTTGGTAAGTTGTTTACTGATTTTATATATCTTAAAAGTTTTATTTTTTTGATTATCATTTCTGATTTATGCTGTATACTATTATTACATTTAATAAAATAAAAACTAATATATTTAAACTAATACATTTAAAAAAATGAAAAAAAAAAAAAGACTAAATGAATGATAGCGCAATAGTAATAATAACAACAACAATAGTATTATTAATAGTTATAACAATAATAATAACATTATTAATACATTTAACAAAATAAAAAAAAATAGTGACTAAATCAAAGTTGTTAGTCCTTGGCCTTAACCTCAACCAAAAATTAATAATTTCCCGGGATCCCGGGATTAGTTAACAAGCAAGAATTTATCAAACTAGTTAGGGTTGGGGGGGGGGGGGAGGAGGTGTGAGGTTCAAATACTATTACTTTTAACAAGAAAATAAAAACAAAATAATTCTTAGAAACTAAGACTCTCAAAATAAAACAAATATAAACTTCAATAACATTATATTTTATATATACATTAACATTTGAAATAATTTTTTAAAAAACATAAATTGTCAATAATGCTATCACTTAACTCTGACCGAATTTTTGTAATAAAAAGATCTACTGTAGAAAAAGCTCTTTCTAAATTGATTGAAGTCGGTGAGATAGTTAATAGAGCATTATATAACTTGTCTAAGTTATTTGTATGCTTTTTCATTGCATCAAAAATATCCATTTCTATTGTAATATTTTTAACATAATATAACACATCTTGTGGACTCTCAATTTGACTAACATTTGTAATGGCAACTTCCAATTTTTGATGAAGTGTTGATTCAAATTTTGTCTTTAAATTTGGTTTAGCTATAATCTACATTTCAGTCTTGTCATTACTGCGTTCTAATTCTTCAATTTCAGCGTAATTTCCACCACCATCAATATCCTCAACAAAAAGCTTGGAAAATAATTTTGTAGCTGTAGCTTGAAGGACTGATTTAAAAGGCAGCAATAATACAGAATCTATGTTCGATTCGTGTTTATAATTTGATGGATTATTTAAATATTTTAGCAAACAAACTCAATTTTTGTTCCGTCTTTCAACAATTCTCTGTTGCACACACTGCAGCATTTTAACAGAAAAACAATCATTATTTTTGCGCAAAGCATCAAATATAGACACTAATCTATAAATATTATATATATATATATATATATATATATATATATATATATATATATATATTATAAATCAAATCTATTTATAAATCAAATTCAACAATAATATTTTATCTATCTTAGACACAAACCAAAACTGCAAAATATTGGGGATTTAATTGTTCTCTATATGATATCCTAATTTTTTTATTTTTATTTTTATTATTGTAGAATATTATATTTATTTTTATTTTTATTAATATAGATTTTTTTATTTTTATTATTATAGAAATTTATTATAAAAGGAAAAAGGAAGTAATTAGTACTCAAATTTTGAGTAATAATATTTTTAATATCTTTACAAATGTAAAGATATTAATAATGTTATTACTCAAAATTTGAGTAAAAATATGTTTAAAAAAATTACCGGGATTCCTGGGAAATTTCATTGAAATCCCAGGGTAACGAGATGATTTTTTATGGGATCCCGGGATCCCTTTTGAGAAGCCCTAATCTAAACATTTTTTATTAGTTAAAACATTTTAAAATTTAAAAAAAGATTAAAACACATGGTTTTTTTTTTTTAATTAAAATAAAATTTTAAAGGTTTTTTAAATTAAATTTTTTTTATCATATTTAAATTAAAATTTCTTCTAAGGTATTTTTTATTTATTTATACTGTTTTTATTCAACTTATCTAAATCTGTTTAAAAAAGTTGTTAGTAATGTAGATTTAATAAATTTAAATAAATTTTTAAAAATAATTTTATTTATAAAATCTTTGAATCAATAAGCAATAGCTTGATTTGACGGTTCTAAAAAAGACCAGAAATATTATTATTAGAGTTATTCTTCTTTGACATCTATTAAAAGTAGTATTGCACCTCAGATTCAAAAGCCCTATACCAAAAAAAAAGAAAATGCTTTTTTGCAAATTATAGAAAAAATCATGTTTTACAAACAAGAATGAATCAATCACTTGAATTTAAAAGAAAAGATTTTTTTGTTAATAAAAACTGTGCAATATTTAAAAATTAGAAATCTATATTTGACAAGTATTTCTGTGTCCCAGCAATGTCAGCTCCTGTCAGCGTATCTTTTGTCAGAATGGATTGATAACGTGCCCTTATAGAACTCTTATATCTGATTTGTTGCTTAAAACTTTGATGTTTCTTAAATGTAATGAAGGCTTATGGGCTGTATAGTGACAGTTATTAGTTATGACTTATAATTAATGCTAGCAACTAGTTTAATTAAAATAAACTCATAACAATATATCTTTAATTAAAAGAATAGTTAATGCTAACAACTAATAACAACATATCTTTAATTAAAAGATGTTAATATCAGTTGTTAGCATTAAGCACAAAAGTACATAAAATTAAAAAATTAAAAGTTTTAACTCTTTATTTTTATGAATTTTTGTTTTTGGCTTTCATATATATCTACAAATATATTTTCTTATTGACTTCATTGAATTCTGTACGTAACCTTTAATTTCACAACATGTGGTTTTAATGTCACAGAACTTAAAATGCCAATTATTAACAAAAATACAATTTTGTTAATAATTGGCTTTAGTGTAACGCCAAAAATTAAGTCCTTGGTCTTGAAAATGTTTGCTTAGGCCTTGGCCTAGAAATTCTTATTCTTGGCTTTGTCCTTGGCCTTGAAACTTTTGGCCTTGCTACATCTGGCCTTGGTCTTGGTCTTGCTACTTTTGTCCTTGTTAACAACTCTGGACTAAATGAATAATAGTGTAATAGTAATAATAACAACAACAATAGTATTAATAATAGTTATAACAATAATAATAACAATAAAATTGATATTAACAATAAAATAATAATAAGAATAATAATAGTCATTTCACAAAATTCAAATTAGTTTTAAAATTATTTTAAAAAGAAATAGTTTGTTTTATTTTACCAATTGATTTAAACTTTTTAATAATTACATCAGCTGTCTAGCAATAGCATCAAAGAAAATAGCAAAGAAGATGTTTTAGTTGGTAAACTTGATGCAGTTGATGTTGATGCAAACCAAACTTTTTTGTACAGAATGGTTGACTCTTCTCATGGTTTATTTGTTATTGACAATAATGAACTGAAGGTAATAGTCGAATGCATATTTATTTGTTTTGTTATTTTAATTATTTGTTTACTTGTTATTTTATTATTTGTTTTGAAGTCTTTTTTTTAAACTAGAACTAAAAAGTTTTTCAAACTTTTATTTTTCATTGCTTGTTTATTTTAATTGTGCTTTGATATTGTTTAGACTTCATCAAGAAATATGAAATGCATTCCACCTACATATCCACAAGAGTTTTGTCCCTTAAATTTTGAGATTCAAAAAGTGCACTATATAACAATTGAAGTTTATGATAATGGTGTGCCATCATTATCCTTCATTAAAAACTTCAGCATCTATTTACTTGATATCAATGATCCACCCTATAATTTAATTCTTTCTAGCAACTCTGTTAAAGAAAATAGTCTTGTTAATACTTTTATTGGTCAATTTTCTGCACAAGATGAAGAGAATCAAACATTGAGTTTTCTTTTGCTTGATGATGATAACTCTAACTTTATTCTTAGTTCAGCAAAGTTATACAAATCTAAATCTTCTGACTACGAAGCTACAAAATCACATTTTATTCATGTTCAAGTTTCTGATGATGGCGATCCTATCAATTTAGTATACTTATATTTCTATTTATACTTTACTTTTTTTTTTTTTTACTTTATTTTTATTTATACTTTACAACTTTTAATGTTTTATTGTTTTTATGTTTTTGATACATTAAAAAAATTCAGATTTAATTAGAAAGTTAATTAGAAAGTTGCAATGCATTTGACATGAGATAAAAATGTATATTTTGCTACATATTTTTAGTACTGTCAAACAAGCTAACTTGAGACAGTGGCCTAACTTTTTTTATTCTTATTCATTAAATCAAATGTGTTGATCTGTTTTAGTTCTAAATATTGTGGGTGAGTTTTAATACATTCTTTATGGTTAACTACTTTTTCAATGTTTGATTAACAGGTATGGTTTGGTAAAATAAATACATCTTCCCTAAAATTAGTTTTGTACAACTTTTATTGTATATACCTTATTAGTTTTAGATTAACACTTTCATTTGCTTCAGTCAATTATTTCATATTTGACACTATCAATGTATTATTACATCAAATTTGTCAATGGTAGTAACATAACTTTTCAGGGAGGAATTGTTTCTAGGGCTGACCTTAGTTGGGTAACATAAGATAGTGACTAAATTTACCTATAAAATTTTATATGCATCAAAATGTTTCAAAAATATTATTGTGTTTAATTATATATTCAGAATAGTCAAATTGACAAAAATTGATAAAAAAAACTTAACAATTCTAAAAAGAAGAAGCATATGGACTTAGATTACCACAAAAAATGCATTAAATAAAGTTAAACAAAGAACATCCTTTTTCAATACAACTGAAAAGTATCGAGTGTCTAAGTCTACTTTAAATTCATAAAAAAACAAAGTTTTTCAAATACCAGCTTTGGCTGGTGTTTTTTTAGAGTCTTTAAAATTTCGTTGATCGGTAAGTTATTTTTGAATAGGTGAGGGATCAATGAATTTAGAATTAAAAACAAAATGCCAGGAAGAAATTGGGCATGTTCTTTTGTCACAAGCCACATATATACCTTGAACAAAAGAATATGCCAGAAAAAGGTCTAGAGTTAGTATTGGTGATTAAACATTATTGCTTTGATGAGCTCATAATCATTTTTCAAAAATCGTAAGCCTTATCATAAATTATAAGAAAAACATGACAGTTGAGCTTTAAAAAAACTTTTAGAGTAAGGTGTGAAAGTAAGGTGTGAAAGTAAGGTGTGAAAGTAAGGTGTGAAAGTAAGGTGTGAAAGTAAGGTGTGGAAGTAAGGTGTGGAAGTAAGGTGTGGAATTAAGGTGTGGAAATAAGGTGTGGAAGTAAGGTGTGAAATTAAGGTGTGGATGTAAGGTGTGGAAGTAAGGTGTGAAAGTAAGGTGTGAAAGTAAGATGTGAAAGTAAGGTGTGGAAGTAAATGGTGAAATTAAGGTGTGGAAGTAAGGTGTGGAAGTAAGGTGTGGTAGTAAGTTGTGGATGTAAGGTGTGGAAGTAAGGTATGAAAGTAAGGTGTGGAAGTAAGGTGTGGAAGTAAGTTGTGGAAGTAAAGTGTGGAAGACATTGTCTAGAAAGAATATTTAGTTTGTCTGAATCAAGCAATTCAATTATGTTTTCGAAAACCCAGTAAAATGCAGCCAAAATTAATCTGTGATACTGAAGAATATATGTGTTGATTCGTAGTCATAAATGTATTGCACACCAATTTAACTAAAAACATTAAGAAGTTTGTTGATTAATCATGTTGATTAATCATCATTAAGATTAATCATGTTGATTAAGAAGTTTGTTGATTAATCAACTTAAATAAGAACTTTCAAGTTAATTTTTAAAAGGTCAACAAAAGCTATAAATATCTTCCAAAAGTAGATGATTTTATGACTGTCTATTTTTCCCAATTTTTACAGAGGAGTACAAACCCATGAGTTTAACTAGAGGTCAATTTTTCTTATTTTATAGGAAATGACATTTCTAAATAATGAAAAAATCAAATTCTACAAGAATCTTAAAAACTATCCCAAATTTTTTGTCTGTTTGACAGTATTCACACTTAGTACTTACACTCAAATTTTTAAAGATTTAGTGAGAAATTAAAAAAAAAAATCATTTCTTTAATTATTTACTGTAAAATTTAAAAAGTTATAAAGTTTAAACATTTTTTTTTAATATATATTGCTTTCTCATAAATATTTATAAATATAAATAATAAGTAATAAGTACAATAAAATTAATTTAATTTAGATTGACAAATGGTTTATCATTAATGTTGAGGATGAAAACGAACCTCCTGTTAATGTTACTTTTGTACCAACTTTCCAAGTCACTCTTCTTAACTTAACAGTAATCAATATTTTTGAAAATACAACTGCAAATAATTTTAATGTTGGAAAATTTGTTATTTATGATGCAGACAAAATACAAAGTATAGAAGTGGAACTTCTTGAAACTTTTAATGGAACATTTGTTTTGGATAACTCCACTCACTCCAAGTGCATAGATATTAAAGAAAAGGAAGCTCAATCAAAATGTGAAGTTAACTTGTTTATTAATAAAAATCTAGACTTTGAATCAAAATCAGTTTATTCAATTAACATAAAAATCACTGATCGTAACCACAGCATTCAATATATTTTTCAAGTGAACGTTATAGATTGCAATGATGCTCCAATAAGTATTTTAATTAATGATACTAAAGTAGCATCAATCTATGAAAATTCGTTTGGTGTAATGATTGGTAAGCTTACAACTGTTGATCAAGATTTTGAACAACAGTATGAATACAAATTATTTGATAGTTTCGAATATTTTGAAATTGTTGGCAATATACTGATGCTGAAGAAAAACATCTCAACTGATTATGAAAGCCAATCATTCTTTGTAATAAGCATTATATCTACAGACAATGGTAATCCGTCGCAATATATATTAGATCAGGTTCGAGTGAACATTTTGGATGTTAATGATCCACCTACAAATGTAACTCTTTCTGTTTTTGAAATTGATGAAAACTTAAATCCTGATACATTATTTGCTAATGTCATAATAATTGATCAGGACGTTAAGGCTCCTGATTATAAGTCTCATCCATGCTTTCTTTCTAATAATACTTATTTTAAAATAGTTGAAAATGTCCTTTATGTTTTGATGCCTGCAAATTTTGAGCAAGCAAGTTTTATTTATATACATTTAATATGTCAAGATCAGTTTGTTCAAGTAAAAAATACATTTATAGTTACTGTAAATGATGTTAATGAAGCACCAAGTGAGATCATACTATCAACTCATGAATACTCTGAAAACTTACCTCCACAGCTGATAGCTACTCTTTTTACTGTTGATCCTGATGTTTATTTAGATGGTAATCAGCATGTATTTACATACAAAATTCTAACAAATCAAGATCAAGTAGCTGTTAATGGATCTAATTTATTAGCAATAAAGACTTTTAATTTTGAGGTTTTATCTTTAATCACATTTGAAATCCAAGTCATTGATTCTGGAGGCCTAACTTTATCTCAATTGAAGACAATTAAAATTGTAGACCAAAATGATCCACCTTCTGATATATTAGTATGTCTTCTATTTTTTCTATTATTTAATTTGATTTATTTTAAAAAATATTATAAAATGTTTTCATAATTTCAGATTTCAAGTGATAAAGTTTATGAAAACTCTGTGCAGTATACACTTGTTGGCAGCTTAACAGTAATAGATGAAGATCAACACCAAAGTTTTATTTGTATTTTAAATGGTAGTAAATCAAGTCCATTAGAAATTTATGGTAGTCATGTAATGGTATGCTTTTTATAATCATTATTACTTTTGCAATACTTTGAACAATACTAATACTTAATCACATTATTACTTAATTAAAGAGCGTGTGCAAGATAGTTTTATTAAGAGACGTGTGCAGAATGAATAAATTAAGAATTTTGTGCGGGATAAGTTTATTAAGAGATGTGTGCATAATTTTTTTTAATAAACTCGCAAAAGTTTATATAAAGAAACAAATTAGTAAGTACTTTATCGATGTAACATTTCAGTTTAATATAATCTGTGGTTTAATGATATGACCATGTGACCATGTGACCTGTGAGTTAATGGTATAACTATAATCTTTGAACCATTAAAACTAATTAAATGTAAGTAACAAAAAAAAAAGATAACTAAAAAATTCTTTAAAAATTGCCTTACACATAATGCCAATGAGGTATAAATAAGGGATAATTTAAAATTATTTAAAGCGAAATTTTTTAATACTTATTTTAAAAAGTTACAGTATTAAATTAAATATTGCATAGGATTAAGTGATTTATTTCAAAGTGTCGAATCTTTTATTTTTATTGAAAAGTTTATAGTAAAAGTTTAAAGTTCTAGCATGTCAATACTACATGTCAATACATGTCGTACTCTGTACTAGAAACGTAACTGTACTCTGTACTAGAAACGTAACCGTACTCCGTACTAGAAACGTAACTGTTTTGAATATAATAACATTTATTATAGTGTAATTATAAAACAATATATCATCCTTATATTTGTATTATAAAACTGTTTATAATACAAATCCTTTTGTTGTTTTCCATGATTTAAGACAAAATGCTTTAAAAATGATATTTAGGTATTTTTATTTATTTTTTTTTGCATTTTATATTTTTAACTGTTGTTGTTTATCCTAGTGACTTAATATATGACTTAATAAAGTTTAAAATTTTATATATTAATTTATTGTGGTTAATCAAAACAATTTGAGCAAATATAAATTTTTATGGATGCCAAAATATGCAAAAATCTTCATGGAAATATTTAAGGAAGGATAAACGTATATGGAAATAAATTGCTGATTATTATTTTTTATATTAGGACCTCTTCTCTTCCTTATTTATATTAATGATCTATACAAAGCCTCGAATTTAATAACAATTATGTTTGCTGATGACACTAATTTATTTATGTCTCACAAAAGCATTCCTACTTTATTTCATAACGTGAACATCGAGTTAATCAAAATATCTGACTGGTTTAAGACAAACAAACTATCCCTGAACATTGAAAGAATCAAATAAATACTTATAACACAATTTATAACTGAATATATATATCCCTGAACATTGAAAGAATCAAATTTGCATGAAAAAGGAAGAGAAGAGGTCCTAATATAAATCCTTGAGGAACTCCACATGTAATATTTAACAAATTTGATGAAAATGATTTATCAGCATAAACAAATTGTTTACGATTAGTTAAATAACTGATTATTTTATTGATTCTGCTTCGATGCTTAACTTAAATAAATTTATTGCTATAAAAAAATGCTAGTTATATATTTAGAAAAAGATTGAAAAGATAAAACTGTGAAGATAAAAGACCAGAAGACTACAAACAATCTGTTTTATTTGACTTTCCCAATTGTTCAAGATGATTGTTCAATCTCATGCAGCAAAGTAATAAAAAAGCTTGAACACAAGTTCAAAGCAAAACAAGAACAAAACAATTATTTGCTATCATGATGTGCTGTCATGATCATCATGCCACAAACTTTAATTTCTTAAACAACAAGAAAGCAAGCCAGTGAGTCAGTAAAAGTTTTTGTGTAACCTTAAACAGCTAGAAAGTTTATTTAGAAACATAACAATATATTAATGTGTGATGATTTTATTGCAGAAATTTACTTTTGAGAGTAGCTGTTTAAATCTACAGAAGACAACCTTAATAGGGTTCATAAATATGTTTTAACCATAGAATTGAAAGATTTTTAACTATAGTTGTTGAAGATACTCTCAATCTAACAATGACTACAGCTGCTTGCATCATTGTAAAATCGAAATCATAAACTTAATAAAAATTCTTATTTTTGATGTGGTGTTGAACCACAACCAAAAGTTAAATGGCCTGCATTAAAGAATCACTGGGTAACTGCTTATTATTCAAGATAATAGGCTTCTTTACAAACCTTGATACACCTTACGTTAATCACTTGCAAATCACACTAAAAGTTACAAGAATTTTCATTAGAGTTAATTGGTAATGGCTTGTCAAAAGTTTCTTGTTATTAATACTTGATGGCATCTGTAATTGTTGAAATATTTGTACTGACACAACGTTTTTCAGTTACTATCATCTTTAAAAGAAATAAAAAACTGCTTCAATTTTGCCAGGCAAAAGTAGGATAAAGTGTAATACATACCCTTCAATACCCAGAGTAGAACAAAATTTAAAAAAATCTACACAACCTCACTATCATCTTCTAAAAATTCTTTCTTTCTGACTGAAGAAATTAACTAAATGCTTAAACAAGATAATGCGTTAAAATGTGTTAATTAAGATATAATTCAAGTCAATGGTGATGGTGATGGTGATTGATGATTTTTTGTTGATGTTTAAGTATCTTTATAAAAGTTTCAACACATTTTGAAAAATTTCAAGACAACTTAATAAACTTTTCAAGTTTATCAAGATCAAGTTTGTGGTTTGGCTAGTAGAGACAACTTCATTCGTGCAAGACTTGCAGCACGAAAAATGATGCCTTTATTCAACACAAAAAGTCAGTTTCAGACAGATCTAAATTAATCAGATAGTTGAACTTTGTTACAGCTAAACTTTAAACATTTTTCAAAAACATTTTCCACTCTATTAAAACTTTAATTATGGACTGCAGAGCTTGTTTGCCAAAAACTCATGAAACAGTGTTTTTTTGTTTAGACTTTAAAATATTTTCTTAAAATTTATAGCCATTTCTAACTTAGTTATTGTGTAATGTTTAAACTCTATTACAAGAATTTGTTATTTTTAATTTGTAAAAAAGGTCAGAAAACGTGTTTTTGTAAGAAAAATGAAATCCTAGCGCTAACTGAAGACATAAAAAAAAATAAAAAAAATTTACTTTTTATAGCATTATGCAATTTTTCCACTCTATTGCAATTTCAAATTCAAAAAAAGTTATTTTTCGATACACCCTAATGGAGGAAGCAACAGTTGGATCTAATAAATATGTACTTGTTAAAAAATGAATAAATTTAGTTGAGTTTTGGCTGCAGAATTGATTGGAATTGTCTACTAAAGTCTCTAAAAGAAAATTTGTCTACTAAAAGAAAATTTGCAGTAAAAGACTTGTTTATACGATGTTCTTTGAGAACTTGAATATAGATGGTAATAACTGAAAATGTTAGTTTGCTGAAATTTCTGGTAATTTCAGGTATTTTCTCTCATGGAAATTTTAGGTATTGCTTTATGTATTTTCTGAAAATGTCCTACTAAGTTACTGGAGTTTTTTTATAAGAATTTTGCCTAACAGATTTTCATTGTTTTTGTCCTGTATTGACAGTAAGTTTAACGTTTTTTTAATTGTACAATTTCAATACACAATTATCATGTTATCTACCCAACCAAGCTGTCAATAACCTTGAAAAACTATTTTTTATTTTTCTGTTGTTAATTGGTTTATAATAATTTAGAATCTTTAGATATTTAGATTATCTTAAAATAAAAAATTGAATGAAATATTTATAGCTAGTCAATATACGACAAGCATTAAACACAAAATCATTAAACACATTAAACAACAAAATCAGTTTTTTTTACATCTTAATGAGAGTGTCAATGATTCAAGTTTCTTGTAGTTTGATATGCCCAATATTTTTTGGTGTCCTCAGAAAAAAAAAATTGCCTGGTAATTGATTATTCAAGCACAATCAACTTACCTACCTCACTAAATTTGTACCTAACATAACAAATTAATGATATTGTACTTAAAATAGCAGCTAATATGTTGAGCACCATTGATCTAAAATCTTCACACCATTAGGTGAAAGTACAAACTCACTATGTTTGAAGTTAATGGTAAACTATATAAGTTTACATGTTTACCTTTTTTTATAACATAATTTTTTTTTTTTTTTTTTTGGGTCACTACAGACAAGGAGGCTACTTAATAGTGGTTATAACCCTCTCTCAACTCTATAACTCTGAAACACGAACCTTGATGAACAAGGCCGCTGCATGGAGAAACAAGTTGAGCGCGGTACTACAGGGACGTGGTGGGGATCGAACTCGGAACCTCTCGCTTATGAATCGAGTGTTTTACCACTACACCACTACCGCATGTAGGATATTGTGTCCATAAGTATGACATAAACATAAAAAAGGGTAAAATATTTCATATAGAATTTTTTACTCTTTTCCATGTTTATGTATTTTTTTAAAATATTTTGCAATGAGTTTTTTTAAAGTTACTCTTTTCAATGTTTATGTCATACTCTTGGCATAATGTTAAAAACAAAACCATAAAAATAATTCCAAAAGTAATGAAGTTTTTTGGAATATGCCAGAACTGCAAACTGTGAAAAAAACTTCACAGGTTGATTAGATTATTTGCATACTACATTAAATTCTAAACTGCACCAAGTTAACTCTACCACTTATTTATACAAGAGTTTTTCAACTCAAGGACTCAGCTAGCATGACAAAAAAGATATAAAAAAACTTCAAGATAAACTTGAAGATGCATGTCTAGCCTCTACTGTTTTTAAATTTCCACAGTTAAAACAGATGCTTTCAACATTTTTCTTAAGAGAATAATATTACAATTAGGTGGGTCAGTGTCATTCTTCTTAAGAACATTAAAAAAATTCCAAAAGAAAACATAAGGTTGTTAAAAAAGTAAGTGTTGCTAGCAAAGCCTCCAAACCTACTTACTCTATTTTACTACTAAAGTAGTTGGTGTATAACATAACTGTTATATATCACCTCATCCTCTTCTCTTTATTAAGTGTACCTTCCTCAATCTATTCTGTTTAAAGCTCCCAGTTTGAAAGCCTAAATTTGCAACAGTTCTTTGAGAGAAATTAAAACAAAAACTACTCGCTACCATCCACAAGGAAACAGATAATGTGAAAAAATAAATGGAACTATATTCAAAACAATCAGTATGGGTTCTAAGATGATAAATTTGAGGGGAAAAAAATTAGAAACAGTTTTGCAAATGGCTCTATCATCAATCAGAGGCTTACTGTGCACTACTACTAATGAAATGCTGCATCAGAGAATCATGGGCTCATCTGTATTGAACTACCAAATTGATGTTGAATATCCACATAGCTTTGAATTTTTCAATGGAAGAGAACAATCCATTAAGGAGATCCAAAGCCTAGCTAGCTTGAGAACCTGATGATAGAATACAACTTAGTTAACAAATATCCTGTGGCCTCAGAATTAGAAAAAATGAGGTTGGCAATAAATTGCTAACTTCAACTGTTAAAAGTCAGCATGAGGTTGGCAAAAAAAAGTTTGACATAAATAAGTTACCATAAAACATAGAAACAAGGTCAGCAATTTTTTGCCAACCTCATACACTTTTTGGTCAACAGTTAGGTCGGCATTGCCAAATGGCAACCCTAATTCCGAGGGTTGATTTGTATAGACCTGTGAGTACTGAAGAAGAAAGACTTTTTCACAAGTTACACTCAATGTTAAAAGACATAAATATTTAAACAATTATGAAACTTCCTAATCTAACTGGAGAAAAAATAAAAAAAGAATTTGAAAGCCACAGTATTATTTCAAAAAAATAAAAAAAACCACAAGTAAAAAAAATTTAGGTTATGTAATAAAATTTTTTTTTATTATTATTGAAAACTCTGTAGTTAAAAAAATGAAAAAAAAGTAATGACAAGTAAAAAGCATGTAAGATAAAAGCACATTTTTAAAAATAAAATTGATACTTGTTTTTATTGAACATAGGAAATTTTTCTAATAAAATAAAATAGATAAGGAATAAACACAAATTATTTTGAATTGCTTTAATGTTTAAAATTTTGCCACCAAACATAATTATGTATCTGCTCAAAATTCTTGTAAAAGTTCATTAAATTTTTATGTGTAAATATAAATTTTTTTTCAAAACAAGAAATGGGTACTTGTACCCATTTCTCTGATAAATATTTGTGCAACTCCTAAACTCTTTGTTAAAGTTCAGTTAAAAGTTAAACCTAAAAATCACAACTTAAACCAAATCCTGTACTAAAAACAACTGAAAGGTTTAACAATACACAGATTTTCGTACGACATTTGGGCTGCCATTTTTAGGTAGAATTTCTACTGATATAATTGATTTAAAAATTCTTTAATGTTAATCATTTTCTAAAAGTTAAAACAAAATATTGTTAATCTTTGTACCATTTACTTAAGCTATGTAAATATTGTTACAATGTTGTAATTCAAATTTTTCTAGTCTTTTTTTTAATAATTTATGTGTTGTTATAGTTCATATAATTATATACATCAAATTATTTAAAAATTAAAAAGGAGACTTACCCATTATTATCATCCTCACTTATAGAATTTAGCATATTTTTTGTTAAAAAATTATTATAGAATACTTTTTTCTATAAAAATTTTTCCCATTTTCTTTGTACTAGCGAAGAGTAGAATACCTTAATACAGAATAAGTTTGTACCACAGAACAGTAGAATACTGCAATACGAAATAAGATTGCACTACAGAACAGTAGAATACCGTAGTACAGAACAAGTTTGTACTATAGAAAAGTAGAATACTGTAATAAAGAATATGTTTATACAGAATAGTAGAGTATTGTAATACAGAAAAGGTTTGTACCACAGAACATTAGAATACAACAATACCAAATAAGTTTGTACCACAGAGCAGTAGAATACTGCAATACAAAATAAGTTTTTACTACAGAAAGTTATTACTAGAAAATACTCACATAAAATTAACATATTTAATATACCTCCAATGTCTTTTTCTACATCTTTTGGTAGTTATTATTATCTAAAATATTTATTATTTTTAGTATCATTATCTTCATTATTTTATTTATTACTATTTATCATGTCAAGAAATTTTATAACTTTAAAAAAATTAAATTGATAAAAATATTAGTTTAAAACATTAAATATTAATTTGTATAATTTACAAACAGGATAAAAAAGTGTATTAAAGTATTGTAAATTGAAAGTAAGCACTTACTGTAATGAAAGAATTATAAATAATTTAATATTTGATTATTATTTTATTATAAATTGTTTATTAGTAATATAAAAAATTGTTTTATAATGCTAATTGAATATGTTTATAGGTAGCATGGGATGGTTCCAGAAATGATCATTTAAACTTTGAGAAAAATCCTCTTTTATCATTGCCTGTAGTTTGTACAGATAATGGAAATCCTCGATACAGCATTTATAAAAGTTTTACTATTTATGTATTAGATGAAAATGATCCACCTTACAATTTAACCTTATCAAATTATTATATAAATGAAACAGATCCAATTGGTACAATCATTGGAAAATTTAATGCTTTAGATGAGGATATAGGACAAAGTTTATCTTTTTTTATAGTTGGTGGTGATAGCCAGTATTTTAAAATTGAAGCACAATATTTAATAAAGTTTGCTAATTTTACCCAAACTGGTGTTTACAAAATTATTGTAGAAGTTATTGATAATGGTTCACCTCCAATGAAGGTTATTACTTTTTTATTTTATATTCCTGACAAAAATTAATTTAAAAGTAAGAAACTAGTGTATATATACATATATATATATATATATATATATATATATATATATATATATATATATATATATATATATATATATATATATATATATATATATATATATATATATATATGTATATATATATATATATATATATATATATATATATTTATATATTATATATATCTACTATTGCCTATATAGACATATTCACAATATATAGATCACAATATATAGACAATATATCACATATTTAAAAGTGTTTTAAATATTTTAGATCAAATCAAATTTTTTAATTGATGTGATAAATGTAAATGAAGCTCCCATAGCTACAGTGATAACAAGCGAAGATGGACTCTTGGTTTTTAATGATAACTTTCCATCTATCAATGAAAATTGTGATATTGGAAGTGTTGTTGGAACTATATTTTCTTATGATCCTGACAAGAACGCAACACTTAACATTACCTTAGATAATACTGAGTCTGGCATTTTTGCACTTGATAATAAAATATTTTGCTACAACACATCTAGTTTAGTGGATGGTACAACTTGTAAGGTAAAACTACTAGTTAATAGTTATCTTGATTACGAAGAGGCATCGTTTCATCCGATCACCATTCGATCTCAAGACCAAAATGGTTTATTACATGTACAAAAGTTTGTTATAACAGTTTTTGATATGAATGATAAACCAACAAATGTGTTTCTTAATGGTCTCCATAATGTAGCTGTTTGTGAAAATATTCAAGGTGTTTTTATTGCAGATATAACTACAATGGATCAGGATGCAAACCAAAGTTTTATATACACTCTATCTGAAACATATGCTTTAGAGGTTTTTGAAATAGACAGTAACAGGCTTTTTTTAAAAAGTAACATTTCTTTAGACTATGAACAAGAATCTGTCTATAACTTTTCTATTGTTTCAACAGACAGTGGCACTCCTCAGAAAAATATAACAGTAAGATTTTCAGTTAATGTTGAAGATGTTAATGAAGCTCCTATCCTTATTGAGGTATCAAACCTATCTGTGGCTGAGAACTCTCCTTCAACAACATTTATTGGCTCCATTACCGTGAAAGATCCAGACAATATTAGATTTGTAACTCAGTATCATGAGTGTTGGGTTACTGGTTCTTTTTTATTATTCAATATTCAAACTTATAAAAATACTCAGAAAAATATAGTAAATGAACTATATGTTATGAAAAATGGTTTGGATTATGAAGTTGTAAGTTTTTTCATTTTATGGTTAAAATAAAAATTATTAAAAATACAAATAAGGCATATAAGTTTATATCATAAATAATTTTACAATAAGTTAAATTCACAGTATGTTTCAATCAAATCATATCAAAGTATATTATGTTAATATTTTGGTCTGAAATTAACTTGTTATGTTAATTTTGTTTACCCTTCATTTCTATTTATTTTAATTTTTTATTCCATAAAATCAACATAAAATTTTATTCATATATAATACTTTTATTTTAGGCTAGCTTTTTTACAATCACTATTAGCTGCAAAGATTCAGGAAATCCTTCTTTGATTTTCCAGCAAAATTTTAATATAAGTGTCATTGATGTTAATGAGGCACCATACGCAATTTTACTAAGTGCAAACTCAATTTTAGAAAACACTAATCCAACAGTTATTGGTAAACATGCTTTAAATAACAATTTTTATTTTTGTCATAAAATCTATTTTGTTTATTTAGTTTTATTTTGTTTACTTTTTGTTGTTTATATTTGTTTATTTATTATTGTTTATTTATTTAAATTTTGTTTATTTATGAATTTATAATAATTTTTTGATTAAAAGTCCGTTAAAAAATTAAGATGATGATGATCATTAAAAAATCAATTTGATCGTTAATAATTTTATTTTGTTTTCTAAGTCATTTATTTTTTATTTTATATATTTTTTAATAAATATTATTGTATTTCTTATACTATAGTCTTTACATTAATAAAACTTTTTAACTTAGGAAGTTTTTCAACCAGAGATCCGGATAATGTGGGAAGCTCAATACAGCTTTTTAACTATACATTATTAAATGAAAGTGTTCCATTTGAGATAATTGGACATGAGTTAAAAACTAAGCAAGAACTGGACTATGAATTTCAATCTAATTGGATCATATTTGTTAAATCTACAGATAATGGAAATCCTAGTTTATCATTCATACAAAATTTTACAATTTTTGTAATTGGTGTGGTTTTGTTTTAATTTGCTTACAATTAGTTTATTTATATTTTTTTATTTCTAAAATAGTTAAGTATATTTTAAGGCTATTTTAGTTGGCTAAATTTTAAAATTGTAAAACTGTAACTTCTGAAACTCAAAAAATTAACTTCTGAACTTGAGTCATAAGCTTGTCACTATAAAAGGAGAATTATTGGGAACATTTAAAATTCAACAATACAGTAAAACTGCTCTGGTTAAAAGGTTTTATAGGTTCCATTGAATTTTGGGAATAAAAAATGAAAAAATATTGTTTACTTAAAACATTTTAAGCTAGTTTGTTTCTATTTAATGGTCCTCAAAACTGACAATTTTTTGATCCAAAATATAAGATTCTATAAAATCTTTTAATTAGGGTTTTATTTTATGATTATGATTATTTTTAGCCAAAAAGCTTAGATGCACCCTAAGATGCACCCTAAGATGCACCCTAAGATGTATCTTATATGAACATTAAAGTAAAGTATTAGTATTTAGTAATTAATTTAGTAATTATATGTAAAATAAAGTATTTTGGCATAATACAAAACTTAACCTTAGACTAAAATACAGCAGTATTTTAGATTGAGAAAAAATATACAAGATACAAGAACAGTAGTTGACTTTGGATTTGATATATCAAAGCTATGTTATTTTTGTAAATATATGATTACAATGTTTTGTTAAAAATAGTTTTGTCTAAGACTATTAATGAAATATTTATCCAACATCCATTCTTTCTTTATTCATTCAAAACATATATAAAATTATTTGTTTAACATTTTCGCGCAACTCTATTCTTGTGACACCATTTTTCTTTTTTTTTTTTCTCCCTGTTTTTTGTTTCTAACATTGCTGCATGCAACCACTACTTTAGTTGGGAGCTTGTAGAAAATAAAAAGTAAAGAAACAAGAAAGTAGTTTGCAAAAGTAAATTTGTTCATTATATGTGTGAACTCTACATTCTATGTGCATGCTGTACATTCTGTGTCAATTGTTCATTCTGTGTGTCAACTGTTCATTCTATGTGTTAACTGTTCAGTTTATGTGTCAACTGTTCATTTTATGTGTCAAGAAAACATAAGAAACATGTAAGACATCTAAAGCTGATCATTTAATGTGTCTACTGTTTATTCTGTGTTTACTCTTCACATATAATGCTTTTCACATACAATGCTTATCACACTAAATGGATCGGCTCTAATGCCACTGATCCTGCTGGCACTAAAGCCTATAACTTCTGCATTTCTCAATCTTATACTCAGATAGTTAAATTTGTGACTCTTTTTCCTGGCAACCCTTATCATTTACCTTCACTACTTAATTTGTGTCTTGTCTCTGATCCTAGCTTGTGTTCAGTTTCTCCCTTTTCTCCCTTAGGCGGTGCTGACCATGCAATGATCTCTATAAATCTTTCATCTCGTACTTCTTTTTTGAACTCTCCATATCATCGCACTACTGTTTGATGCAAAGCATTACTCATCATTTCACAAAATCTCACTAAACCACTATTCTCATTTCAATAAATCTTGTATCTTATCTCAGAAGTTAGGCTCTAGAGACTTTAAAATCTAAAATTGTCAACAGCGTTAATATAAAAAGTAGGTCTAACATTCCATCTCTCATTCATGTCACTGATATTATTACCTCTCCCAAGGATAAGACAGAACTATTTGCAAAGAACTTTTTTTTTAATTTGATTTTAATTCTTCAACTTATGGTCATTCTCTTCCTTTCATTCGAATTAAGTAGGTTAACCCATTGTTAGATATTCAAAGCACTCCAGTTTCCATTGCTAAAGTCATATCTCAATTGAAATCTTTTGCGGCTTATGGTCCAGACAAAGCTCCTGTCATAGTTTTACAAAATTGTTTTCCAGAACTCTCTTCAATTCTCTCTAAACTATTTAATAAATGCATGAATGAGTCTTGTTTTCCTGCCTGCTGGAAAATGGCATCTGTTGTTCCAATTTTCTCTAGAGGACATCCTGACTCCTCCAGTTATTGTCTGATCAGTCTTATTCTGTTATTAGCAAGGTCTTTGAGTCTTTGATCAACAAAATCCTCACATTTCTATCTTGAGTTAAATAATTGTCAGACAATGCAGTTTTTAATCCTATTGCTCTACGGATGACTTTCTAACTGCTGAGACTGAAAGATTTTGTTGTGGATTAGATGGAGGCAAAGAGGCTAGAGCTATTACTCTTGATATATCTAAAGTTTTGGGTATATTTGACATGCTGGTCTGTTCCACATAATTGGACCTGCTCAAGCTTGGCAGCTAGAGCAGGTCCAATTTGCAATCATTTTTGACCTTGCCTAGAAGAGAAAGTTAAAATAAGAGAAAGTGCATCAATAGAAGAACCAGCCTAAATATGATAACAGTGTTCCATTTAGAAATGAATAAGAGGTTTGTAGAGATAAAAAATAGAGCCAGGAATAATGAAATAACATGCAAGATAAGGGAAGGCATTCTTATTAGATGCAAACTTTGCAATGGGTTGTATGCATTACAAGTGTTACTATTGAATTACAGGAAAAATTCTTTGCAAATTTATCTTTGGAAGATGTAATAAAATCAAACTCATGTATTAGAGATGAAATGTTAGATTTACCTTTGTTAATAATACTGCTAAAGATTTTTCAAGAGTTTCCAGAACTTCTGAAGTGAAATTCAAGATTTGGTAAACTGAGAACAATGGAGCTGAACATCAAACAGCACCATTGTTCTCAGTCAGAAGCATAATTATCCAAAGAAAGTTAAAAGACATCAGCCCTAGGACTGCCGCAAAGAAAAATACAAAAACATATATGTCAGCTTTTATGTTGTTGTAAGAAGTGCAATAGAGTGAGTCAGAAGTTAAAGTTTGGCATAAAGGTTTTAGAGAGATAGTAACATGGCCTGAACAACCTATATAAAAGCAATGTAAAACTGAGGCCAAAATGCATAAAAAAACATACATAAAAAAATAGTTGAAGGATTCAAATCTGAATTTCACAACTTGGGGAGTTGGCATTTAAGCACAGACCAGGTATGTGACTATTAGAGTCTCAGTGAATAAAAATATTACAGCCATTAACACTGAGATTTAAAAATGAAACAACTGAATTTAGATATATGAGATTCTACAGATAAAAAATTACTTTAAAGGCCACAAATATTTGATTGAAACAATTTGGTGACAATTATATATCTTTTGAAGAGTTTTCAGAAAAACTTACTACCAGTCTACTAGTTACCAGTCAGCCTTAAAACCATCTAACTAAGTTTTAAAGCTATATTCTCATTATTCTGTAATTCTCATAAAAAAGGAGTTTACACAGTTCCAGAGAGAGAAAGGAGGTTCAGAGTTCAGAGGGAGTGAGAGAGTTGCAGAGAGGGAAGAGAGGTTTAGAGTTCATAAATAGAGTTAAGAAGATCTAAATCAGTTCAAGATACATGTTTATATCTACACCAACCATCTATGATATCTATCCATCTATACATCTAAACTAGTCTATTAGATAAGGGGTATGATACTGGTCAACATAAGTTTTTTGCTTACTCCCAAATTCTTTACCTAGAAAATCTTCTAGAAGGCAGTAGCCATATTAATTTTCATCTTACCAAGATAAATACTTTTATTGATACACCATCTCTAGCCTTTACATACTAAAAAATAAAACTTTATCTTTGTATAATTTTATTATAGATGTTAATGAGGCACCTACAGATATTTTGCTTTCTTCATCTCAATTTGAAGAAAATAGTCAAAAAGACACTGTTGTATCTTATCTGACAGCTATTGATGTGGATCGGTTGCCAGATGGAAGGAATCAAAAATATACATTTTCTTTAACAGAAAATTTTAAAGGTGTATTCAGAATTATTTCAGACCAGTTGCAAATAGCTGAGGATTACAATCAATGCTCTAAAACTAATAGTTGTTTTTTAAACTTTGAAAAAAATCCTTTACTTCAGTTAAAGATTAAAGTGACAGATGATGGTGTGCCTGTTAAGTTTTATGAAAAATCAATTTCTGTTCAATTAAAAGATGTAAATGATCCCCCTTGGAATTTAACTCTCTCATCAAATCTAGTTAAAGAAAACTCACCTATTGGTTTTGAAATCGGCATCTTTTCTGCACAAGAAGAAGATTTAAATCAATCTCTAAAATTTTATTTAATTAATGACACTTCAGGATTGTTTGAAATTCGATCAAATGGTAGTCTTGTTATAAAAAAAAATCCTAACTTTGAAATGCAAGAAATTTATGTAATTAAAGTTGAAGTTGTAGATGATGGCAACCCTTCATTATCAGTAAGATTTAGTTAATAATTTGTATCCAATTTATGAAATATTCAAATTTGTTACTAATGGAATTTTTTCATTTTATAAAGAGTTTTTTTTATTAGATAAGAATAGAAGTAATAATTTTTGTTTAGAATGAAAAATCATTCTCTATATTTGTTCAAGATATTAATGAAGCTCCTGCTGAATTGCATATCAGTGATAAAGGTGCTGCAGCTCGTTTTTTTATCAATGAACCTGAAATTTTCGAAAATTTACCACCAGACACTGTATTAGGAACTTTAGAAGCAATAGACCATGACTATGTTGAGCTCTTAACATTTGATCTCCTTGACAGTCATAAGTATCTGAGGCTCAAACCAAATTCAACAACTTGTACTTCTTATACACAAGGACAAAGTGGTTATGATGATTTCTTCAGTTTTTAAATGTTAAATAATATTTTTTAGTTCTAACAACAACATCAAATAATATACTTATATTTTTTATATTTTATAAATATTACATATATATATATATATATACATATATATATATATATATATATATATATATATATATATATATATATATATATATATATATATATATATATATATATATATATATATATATATAATTAACTTATTAAAAGTTTTTATCTTTTTTAGGTTCCTATACAGTATGTGATGTTAAAGTTATGACAAATACCATTTTGAATTTTGAAGAAACTGCTTCATTTATATTTACTGTAAAAGTTAAAGATAATCAAAATCTAACTCATCTCCAGTCTTTTAAGCTAAAAGTGATAGATAGAAATGATGCTCCAACTAATATTACTTTGCAGGGGAAGCATGATGCATTTGTTAGTGAAAATGATTTGTATACAGCTATAGGCACACTGGATACCACAGATGAAGATGTTAATCAAACATTTATGTAAGTACATTTGTAATACTTTATTCTATATGAAAAACTCAATGAAAAAATAAAATCAAAATAACTTTTAGATATTCTGTTATTAATAACTCACATTTCGCTGTTGTCAAGTCAATAAATGGTGAATCACAATTATATACTTCATACATTCCTCTTGATTATGAAAAAGTGCAAAATCATACTATAAATATTCTGTCAATTGATAGCGGTTCTCCTGCATTAAGCTTTTTACAACAGATTGTTATCCATGTAAGTTTTTAATGTGTATTTTCTATTAAATTATTTTATGTATATACATTTTTTTGGTTAACATCGTATTAACTATTTATACTTTTCCATTTTTGCGTTAAGTTTAAAATAAAGTAGCAACCTTTAAAAGCAAAAAATGCAAAGTGAAAAATTTTTTAAAGTTGTAGCCTCATCTGCATAGGCCTAAAGAGACTGAGAATAGCATCAGTGATATGCACAGTGTAATGTTCTGAAAGATTTTAAACAGACCTGGAATGGATTTGTATGTAGTCCAAAAAAACTGTTACGAATCACTAATAGGATGAAACATTAGCAAAGAGTAACTCAGCAGAACAATTGAAGATAGGAGTTCAAAATAGGAGTTGAAGATAGGAGTTTAAAGATAGGAGTTTGAAAATTTTTATCAAATGTTCTTTAATCTCTGAATTTTATGTTTAAAACTAAAAATAAGTCATTTTATTCAGAGATTTTGTCAGTCCAAAACTACCGATTTTCAAAATAATTTTGAAACTGAAAAATGTAAAGTTAAAACTGAAAAAGCCAAAATAGATTATTGGTATTCCAATAATTTATTAGAAAATTAAAATCATGAAGAATATTATGCAGCAAGAAATGAAGGATAAAATAACTTGCAAATAGATCTTACAAAAAGAGAATAACCCAATGCATCCATCATTGTCATGTCACCATTCCACCATGTCTGTTAAGGATTGTTTTAAATCATAAAAAAATACAGTTTTTGAATGACCTCAAAGAACCCAAATCTCAATCCTATTGAGCATCTTCAAGAGAACATTGGCTGACAATTGATAGAAAACTAATTAACAAAGACTATTTATTTGCTTTGATTGAAGAATGTTATTATAAATTCTTCATGATGTTCTCAGTAATTTCATGTGCGGCTATGATGCAGTGGTTAGAGCGCTTGCTTTATAAACAGGAAATCCAGGTTTGAAACGAGCCTTGGACATAGTTTCGCGTCACGGTAAGGAAGGAGGCGTGAACTTTCTGGTTAAATGCACTTCCGCTGTGCTCTGTGACAAAACCGTTAGGTCTTCTTGGGGCACCTAAATAACATTAAAAAAAAAAAAAATGTCTTGTTGCTGTGATGTTTTTTTAAAAGCAAATGGATGTTCCACCAACTATTAACTGTTTTGTTGAAACTATTTTGTTTGAAAATTGACAATTTATTGTTTTTAAAGTAATTTTTTTTTAAATCAGTTGTTTTTTGAAATTTTGCTCAGAAGTTTTTTTGAGAAATAAAATTAAGTTTTAATTGTTATCAATGGTTATCAATTAACAATTAAATTAATTAATTAATTAATTATCAATTAATGGTTATTAATTAATTAATCAATGGTGTACATTCCTATTAAAGGTTGGTTGCAGAGAAAGTAATTAATTAGCTGATGTTTTGCCTGATGTTATGAGCTGTCTGTTGCTAGAAGACCTTTCATTTAGTTTAGTCATTTTTTTATATAGTGCTAATGATAGTCTGCAAAAACATTTTGCATACCAATAGGGGTGAGCAAAACCGGATATCCGGATATGCGGAATAGACTAATTGAAATCACTCCTAGTTAAAACTTCCAACTTGGAAGTTTTAACTAGGGGTAAGTGAAATTAAATATTCAATCCAGTTATTAAAATCCAAATCCGATTTCAACAAATCGAACCAGGTATCCGGTTTTGCTCACCCCTACATACCAAAAGAATTATTTTAAACAATTACGCTTTTTTTTTTGTTTCAACATTTTTACTTCCAACAAGGCTGCAAGCAACCACTATTAGAGTTGGAAGTCACTGGGAGTAGAAAAGATGAAATTTATAGAACAAGATAACAATTAGCAGATGACTTAAAAGATTGCAAATTATATGAAGCAGGAAAAAAAGATAAAGTAAGGGAATTCCAAAGGACTGATGTTTGACGAAAAAAACTAGACAAATAAGAATTTTTTGAGCACTCAGGAACAGTCACAGTAAAAGGATGAGACTTGATTGAATGATGAGTAACACAAGAATGATTTTTCGTAGATGGCCAATAGGCGCTACCTCTTTAGAGCAGTGTCCATTATAGTATTTATATAAAAGAGAAAGTGAAGCAACATTATTACAATGTTGTAATGATTGGAGGTTAACTGCAATAGCAGGTTCAACTATGTTTGCAATGCATTTTTCCATCTTGTTTAAAAGAGAAAGGGCATTATTGGAAGATCTGCACTATATATGGCGACAGTATTCCATAAAATTTGAGATTTATAGAGATAAAGAATAGAATCAAATACAGCAAATGAGGAAACAGCAAACAATGTCTAACATTACCCTCAGAATATTACAGTATTATCAGTAAGCAGTGCCATTTTTGATGTGAGAATTTCTAGGAGATTGATAATGTAAATTTAAAAAAATATAGAGCCAAGGATAGAACCTTGAGGAACCCCTAAAGTTACGGGATATAAAGAAGAGAGCTGTCTATTGAGGACAACTTTTGTACTACGATTGGTAAAAAAGGATTCAATAATCTTGAAGATGTTGCCTGAAAGAAAAGAGCTTATGGAGAAGACCAGCATCTTGAAGATGTTGACTGTAAGAAAAGAGCTTATGGAGAAGACCAGCATGCCAAATTTTATCAAAAGCCTTAGAAATGTTGAAAGCGATAGCCCTAGCCTCTCCATATCTATCTAATGCAGAGTAAAACCTATCAGTTATTACTGTTAACAAATCATCAGTTGAATGAGAAGATCGAAATCCATATTGTTGATCAAAAAGTAAGTTATTAGGTTCAAGATTAGAGATTAAGTGTTTGTTAATTAAAGACTCAAAACCTTGCTTATGATTGTAAAAAGACTAATGGGACAATAGTTAGACAAGTCAAATCACTCTCCAGAATTTTTGAAAATAGGGATAACAGATGCTGCTTTCCAGCAGGCTGAAAAACAAGACTCTGATAAGCATTTGTTAAAAGTGTAGATGACAGCTCCGGAGAACACTTTTGCAAGACTATAACAGGTTTATTGTCTGGACCACAAGCTGTAGAAGAGTC